AAAACCCTTCTTCATCTCAGCCTTTCTTTTCTGTGGCAGTGAAGATAATGCCATAATTTACAGCCATGCATTGCAGAAGATGAATGATAGTTGCTTTTCTTGCTCAGGATGCATTCACCTTTACCAGATAATAGCCCTTTTGAGAGAGTAATGGAAGAAAATGTCTTATTTCTATATTACGTCTTCATTGTAATACTTGAGAAGTGAAATGCAATTTTCAATCTTTCATTTAAAAACAAAGTTGAGAGTGATGAGTGTGCCAGTTTTTTTTTTCTTAAGCTTTTCCTTTTTCATACTCCTGAGTAAAGTGTTTTAAAGGCAAAAAGTTTCATTTTAAGGCTGTTCAATCATTTATAGTTTCTGGTGTATATGAGAGCCTACTTTAAGCAGGTAATATCACACATAGAAAATACTGTCAATTAATCACCCAAAGAACATTTCATATATATTTTGACACACATTACAAACTTTAGTATACAGTATAGGATTTTTTTAAAATTGACACACCACTACATATATTAGTTTTAGACATTTGTTTGTTAATAAAACTTAGATAACTCTCTTAAATTACATAAATAGCTGTCAATATGTTAATAATAAAGGTGGATACAACATGCATTCTTGTACATACATTTATACATAGAAAATATTCCATCCTGATAGGCTATATATCCTCTGCAGTTTTCCATAAGCTAAATGAAAAAAAGAGTTACAATGTGAACAAAGAGGCTTTGGTCAAATGAGACCAAATCCTACATTTTTTCTTATACATGCAAAACGAAAAGGGCCTGACCTTTATTAAATGTGTATTAAATGAGAGCATTAAAATGTCTGCATATATCTGTCCTAAAAAAGTTTAAACTTTTTTTTTCCCCTACAGGAAAGACAGTAGAAGTGAACGGACTGTCAACATGTGTCTGCAGCACGACAGGTTTGTCTCTGGTGTCCAGGGGTCAGTCTCCCAGGGGACCACTCCAAAGAACTCCAGCGACCCTCCATCCTCTGCCTGACATGCTTTTGCAAGAAGGTCAAAAAGGTTGTATGAATCAGCAGCGTGTCAATATCTACGTTTCTCACAAGCAAACAAGATCAAGTAGCAAACTTAAGGGCAATTTCCCTTTTCACATGCAAACGGTGAAAAATTTTTTCGCCAAAACTGTTTAAGCTATTTTTATAGAATTGGTTTTTTTTGTTTCTTTAAGCACAAGGAGACAATATGATCAGAGGTATTCTCGTATTGCTGAAATCTCTGATTTTTTTTTTACTTTCTAACAAAGAGAGTTTATACCCATACATATAGGCTCACTGATGCACAGTAATATATCAATCTAAATAAAATAAATATAATTCCAGTAACCAACTGTTTGAAAAAATATCTGTAATTCAGAGCATGAATCACTATTTTATCGTCCTTATTCCAAACACTTTCACAATTCCCAAAGACACGGATATTTATGTTGTCTTAATTAGAAACATTGGCTGACATTATCGCCATATGATGATGGCTTGGGGGTAGAATTGCTATATGAATGCAGGCTGAATCATTTCCCTAATAAAATCTAACATTGAAAATTAGCTCCACTGAAGCGGACGCACGCAGAGCAGGAAAGCTGGTTGTCTCACACGTGTGGGTAGAACAATGCAGAATAATGAATTTGGTATATTATTTATTTCATCATTTATTTCAGATGTAGCTCAAAGAAGAAACAGGCAACATCATGTGCAGCGCCTTTATTCCAGCTCAAGTCCCACATTCACTCAAGTGCCAAAAATCCTCCTAATGAACGGTCATTGAGACTGCTGCATGAATGGCAATAACATATCCATATCAAAGATCTCATCTACACTCATCCTTCCTCCGGCTCAATGTGAGGCCTGTTCTCCGGCCACATTATTACTCTTATCATTTTAACATGAAAGGGAGGAAACAAGTGCTGCAACACTACCAAGGAGACACCTTGATCCCAGAGCATTTGCATTCGCCAGCTTCTTCAACCTGATGTATGAACGAGTTAGCATTGGGCTCTGTGATTGGTCGGCACTGAAAAGCAGAAGCAGATACTCAGCTGCTGCTGCACATGTTGTGTGTGCCCCCCATCCCCATCCTTAATGTGCCACGCTCAGGCGGTGGCACTAGAGGGCAGTCCATCCTGTTGCTTTTTGTTGTGAAGGAGGCATCTGTTTTAGTGGGACATTCAGGGAAATATTTTTTGATTATTTTTTATTGTTGTGGAATCCATGAAAAAAATATTCAGGCATTTTTGGAATTCAATATTCTGTCATTTAAATTTGTGCCTGAATGCTGTTAATAAAAGGGACAACTTATGAGTTGTCTTGTAAATAGAGCATAGAAAGTGAGCAAAAATGTTGCTTTGAGAAAGCCTTTGATTTACTGGAGTAGGAAGATTATGCACACATCTCTACTCTGTATGTGGCTCTAATTAAAGGCACGCAACAATGAAGGGTGGAAACCCCAAACCCAACAATGCTAATCAAAGATTAAAATAATCTGAGAGGAGCGGTGATTACTTCAAGGGCAGCCAGTCATTTCATTTCTCAGGCACAAGGCAGCAGATTTCAGGTTTTAAGGAAGATGAGATGTTAACAGTGTTTGCAAGGACAGGGTCACATTTTCTTTGCCCGTTTTTCTCCGTCTGTGTTGGTGCTGGACCCTCTGTTAATCGTGAAATAAATAATGAAAGCCTCAACATTGGCCGTTTGTGAATAAGCTCTGGCATAAGTTGGGGGAAAAAAGTATCATATTAACTGTTGTTCCCAATCACTGAAAGACAAAACAAATGAAATATGGCACTGAAAATGTGTTTAATACCATGTAGTAATATTTATTAAATGTATTTTTAAAAATGTGTTTAACATATATGTCACTTGATATCAATACACCAATATGTTCTTGGCACGGCCTGCAGTCTGCTTTACTTTTCCTTTTTTATTAAAACACTCTCATACTGTTTATGTATATTTTAAAAGTCGTTTCCATTTATTTTTTAATAAAATGCAACAAAACTCTTCCTTGTTTCTTAGTGCTTTATTTTATGACTATGCAAATGACAAAAACCTTGAATCTCGTTTTCTTTTAAATAAATCAAATCCCTACTGTCAAATTTCACTCATTACTGAAGTTAAATCTTTTGCAAATATGGTTTATTAGTCTGAAATTGCTTAACCTTTAGATGAAATCTTTATGAACATGACAAATACTTTTTTTTACATATCTTCAATTATTATGGATGTCTAATAAAAAAATTAATCAATTTTCTTGTAAATATATAACAAATTAAACTAATTAGTAGTGAAAGCAAGAAAAAAAAAAAGGTCAGTTATACTACACACCAGTAAACACTTTTTTTCCTGCTTTAATTGCTGTGATGGTTTAGAAAAAGAGTGATTGAATGTTTTATATTAAGATTGCTATGATCTCACTCAGCCATTCTATAATTGGCATTCTGAGAAAAAAAACACCTTTCCAAATGCTTTTTTTCGTTCTTTTAATTGAAAGTATCACTGAAAAGGAAAAAACACCTAAAAATTGGTAACAGGAGGTCAAGCAATGTAAAGTGCTCTTTTCGACCATTCATGAGAGAAGGTCAGGTCAATCAAGTAAGTATGGCTGCTGCTTCTCACAATCAACATTGGGATGGGTTAGCCCTTCTGTGCTAGACAGAAAGCCCGCTTTTGTAGCGTCGACCCCTTCAGAAGCTTCTCGGTTCCTCATGCTGTGTTGTGGTGATGAAGGGGTGGGGGTCTCTGCTCCACGGCGCGCTGCGAAGAAGGGCCCTCTGTGAAAAGGCCCCACTCAAGAGGAATAAAGGAGCCTCTCCAGTGGTTTGTTTTGGAGGCTGTCTTATTGATCTGTCTACCTATGAGTGAATGCATTGGCCCAGTTTTCCCGCTCATGTGGACAATGCCACTCGTCCTGTATTAACTGCCCCAATGTTGTTCCCAGCGAACAGCGTGCATTGAGAGGAGTTTTGGGAGTGTTTGTCAATTTTATCCCTAAGTCTACAAATCTTTCCCTGGAGAATGGAGACAGTTAACAAGGAAAAGCAAATCAATGACCACTGACTGCTTAAATCAATATTATAGATTGAACAAGGACATGGAGCATTTCATACACACAAAGGTCTAACACAATTACCATTTCATTTTCCTAACTGAACCTCTTGCATCAGATACGGAGGTTCTGAAATATCACTCATATATGTCCATTATGTTTATATCTCGGTAACTTTGCTCTAATATCTTTGCTTTTTGCTCACCAAGTGGAGCTTTCTAGGTGAATATGCATCTTAAGAGAAAGTGCTATTGAGGACAATCCCTAAACAAAGGATCCATTTATTTTTTTTTAAACAATCATTCAAAATATATCTGACATGCTTTGCTTTGTTTACCATCTTCATATTAACAATGGGCATATAAAGTTCCCATTTCCTGTTTACTGAGTTGAATAACATGTTTATTTTTGTCTGTCACTTTGTATAGTGGTCTGCTGTGTCCCTTCAAATCTTCGAGGAGAAAAGTAGCCGTACCTAAACAGATCTAAAATCATTCCATGCCCTCACTACTAAAGATATATTAAAATCTTACCAATTTTTTGTTTTTATTGAAACAAAACAATTCCTATTCCCACAGAATTGTGGTAACAAGAACACAAAGAGAATAGTCAGGTGAGGTTAAAAATCTCCAAAACTTGCTGTTAGAAAGCTGTTGCATGATGGTTCAAAAGTCTGTATTACAACCTAATCTACATTAAATCTGCTCTGGGGTGATGATCTGAATGATCTTATAGATAAAATAAAAGCATATATATAAATATATAACTATATTCACATTTTGGTTTCTTTTGTTGTTTGGTAACAAAGTTTATAATGAAAAAAGGGGAAAAAATTTATATTTAGGGATTTCAATTCAAGTCGAATCCAAGGACCTCATAACCACATCCGAGGACCTTACAATGACGTGTAAAATAAAAAAAAGTGACATAGTAAAGAAGATAATTTATTCAAGACAAAATCTAAAGCAGAAATAAATACATGAAACAATGTCTGTTATTTTAGTTTGTGAATCGAAAATAAGTAATAAACATTTTCACTGGTAAAAAAAAAAAACAACAACCTGAAAATCATCAGAACCATTCATCTGAACAGTGAATTCTGAAAATATCCTAAATATATTTCAACTACCCAGACCAAGAGGTTAAATAAAAGTTAATCTGTCACTGATTTGTCAAACACAAAGAAAAAAAAATAGCCATTTTGCACTTCAATAATAAAAAACAATTAAATTGAAATGTTCATAGGCTTCAGCAAATAAATACAAAACCCCCCAAAATCAATGGAAAAAACGATTAGGTCAAATACCAACATTAGATTCAGATTAAACACATTAGACAAGGAATGTGTGGATTGCAGTGATGTGGAGTTAATGATGGGGTAAAATCAACTTAAATCAATTAATTATAAAATTAGGCAGGACTGATACATTCACTATGAGCATATTCCCCACTGTTTCCAACAGATACAAACTAAAGCCAACACAGAAAAAGAAATTGATATGGTGTTGCTAGAATATGTAGTTGTGTATAACACTTAAAACTGGAGTTAATAAACCAGAGCTCAATCAAAACTGAAGCTCAAACGTAAAGAGTTGGACCAAAGAGAACTTAAAACTTTGCGTCCTACTTCCTAACAACACCGGGCAACCATGTTGGCCAGGAAGTCAACAGCACATGACTTCTTGTGCGCATATTTTCCTTCCAACCTAACACTTTCCACTAAGATCTAGTGAACACCTGTAGTCTTTGTTTGAACCAAAACTACAGTAGTATTCCATAATGCACCTAGTCAGATCTCCGGAAAACTCAAGGCCTCAGTGTTCCAGTGCAGTTTCCTACAATAGCAGAAATACAACCTACAGCAACTTAGCAAAAGATTGTTGGGTATTACGATCTTTACTTGGCACAATTTTAAAATGTATATTTGTGAACCAAAAAACAAACAGAAAAACCAACAAAAACAAACACGTTCTTCAATTTGATGGTTAAGAAAAAAAAAAAAACGGAACAAACTGTGCAATCTTGACAGCAGCTGACTCTTTTCATCAAAATGCCCTTTGAGTATAGCGCTGACGAACAGCTGAGAACACGAAACCAGCAGACAGGGACATGATGCCGGGCGCCGACAGAGCCCATGTTGGTCTACCATAAAACCGATTCATCTTATCACACACCTACTAAAATGGCTCACGTAAAACCATGAAAGCAACAAACTAAACTTGAAATACATCAGAAATCCTTTTTATTCTTTTTAAACTCAGTCAACCACCTGAACTTCAGGGCAAGGAAGTATGGTTTCACTTTGCTCTTTGGTGAGAACAGCTCTTGTTTGCCATGCTTTCAACCTCAGTTAAGATTCTCTGGTCCTTAATATAAAGTTTTAAGACTATGTGAGACACTTCAGGTACAAAAAGCAGGTCATTTTGTTAAAGAAAAAAAAATTCTAACATTTAAAGACAGAACTAATAACCCATCTTTGTACCAACTGTCATTTGGTCTCGACCTTCTACCAGTTTACATCCATGTGTTCGATATAAAGTAACAGTTAAATTCATTAGGTAGTTAACTAATTATTGCAAATATAAATTAAACAGTTAAATATATAATTATATTGGAGGTTTAGATCCCTTTTTTTGGCCAGTTATGACACATTATGATCTGCGATTAAAACCATAAGAACTATGAGTAATCCCCAGCAGCGAGCTAATATCTGTCAAAGTCACAAGACATTTTCTTACAGTACACTATGAGTGGATTACAGAGTATTTATTTGAATCACTGGTCGTCAAAGTGGGTAAATATAGCCCCTAAGTTGGACAGAAAGTGATGCATGTTGAACACGTTTCACGACAAAACGACCTCTTCTCATATCCTGAAAAAGTCAGGTAGAGAAACATTAAGTCCTGGTGAAGGGGAGAAATGTGGAAGCCTGTTTTAGCCACTATCGGAAAAACCAACAACTTATATCTCATAATGATGTCATAGCTATAGCTAAGTCATAATCATGAGATATATCTTTTTATTGGCGTTTTACAGAAGGGCGGAAATGACCAGCACTTAAGCAAGACAAAAAAAAGGTGAACAAAGTAAGGTAGATATCAGTTTCCCAACAAATACAGAAAAAACAAACTACTAAAAAGACATTAAAAAGTGTCTGATTACTACAATCCAGATTTAAATGTAGCTTCTTTACAATGCATTTAATTTAAACTGAGGCTTTATCTACCCTGGTTCCCAGATTGTATGTCTGTGTCTGCCCAATCATACTCCATAGTTCCAGAAAGTTTTCAAATAACTCAGGCATTAGCAAGTTACTGGTACCAAGTCAGTACCAAGGATTTAAAAACTGCTAAAATTTTCATTTATTATTTATATTGAAATTCCTTTAAAACCAGAGAAAGTGTCCAAGGAGCCATTTCTCCAGCGCTATGGAGCCTAGAGTAGCATTATAAACAATATGTTCTGAGAGCTTAACAGCAGTAGGAACTTCTGATTTCACATAAAAAAAAAAGATTATCTATTAAATTTTTTTTATATTCATTTTACAGTATGTTATTCAAACTGTGGTGTTATTATTTTCATACCATCCCGAGCCTGATGCTCTATTTTAAAAATGACCTGACAACCATTAAAATAAGAGACTGTTTAAAGGTTAGGATAACATTTTTAAATCCTATTCTGACTGATCTGCATTGAGCAGTAAATAAGCTACATTTAGGATTATTATTATTTTTTTTTACAAAACATGAATCTGAATCCGTTTAAGATTAAAGACTTATAACATGAGGGCTGCTGTGAATAAATCAGATTAGCCCCCAGTTTCTATAAAACAATGCAGAATTGCATGAAAGTCCACATTTTAAAAAGTGTCCACTACAATTAACAACTGTTTTATCATTCAAATTCATAAAGATGTCTGTAGTATTTATTTTTTAAAGCTATGTCACTTTAGTGATGAAATTAATTTATTTCTCACAATTTATGATTATAAGCCTTATAAAGACTTCCAGCATTTGCTGCTCAAATTAATAAAAACATCACTTTTCTACAAGTAAAATCAAAAGTTCACAGTCATCTGTGGAGGAAGCACTGGGAATAAAACCAAGAGCTGAGCTTTGATGATATGATCAGTTGTTCTGAGGCGGTCAGAGACGAGGAGGAGTAAGAATGGAGGAGCAGAGTCACGAGTAGGCCTCGGTAGCCCCACATAAAGTCTTTGTCAGTCCGTTCCCAACATACGGTTGTAGCACTGTAGAGGTTTAAATGCCGCATTTTAAGTTTGCTGCTGCTGTTATGCTGCCATTAGATACTGGTGGTAGAAGAGGCCAAAAATAGAGGTGGAGAAAAGACAGGCAGCAATCCACCAGGTGAAGAAGGAGAAGAGGCCTCTGAAAAGTAGGGGGCTAAAAACAGTCCGTAAGCCCCCCAGAGCCATTGAAAGTTGGGCCACAGATGCCTGGGCTCCAGTTTCCACCACTGTATCTGGTTTTGGATTTGCTATTTGTTCTGCCCCAAACACAGAATCAGGGTTCATATTATGGAGGCAAGGCAGGTCTTCTTCTGGAAAGATCAACCAGGAGTGACCACCTGTAGCGAATGGGAGGATTGCATTTTGTTATAGAAAACAAAAACAATTGAACAAAATTTTAAAGGATAAATAGGAGTCACTCACCTAAAGTTTTTAGCAGCAAAGTTGTATGTAGCAACATCACCAGTGGTGCCACATACTGTAGTGCGATTACGCACAAGTAGTAAAAAACACGTGCAATCTAGAACAGGTAGAACATTAGTTCATAATGTTTCTGCACAAAAACAGCCACAACAATCTCCATGTGTAAACTTTAGACAATACAGATCCCTACAGCGATTCATATTATGGTAATATCTAGGGCTGCAACAATGAATCGATAAAATCCATAAAAATCGACTTTAAAAGCGTTGGCAACGAATTTCATGATCGATTAGTTGTGTCGCGCGATTAATGCGTCATCCGCCGCCGTCGTCATTGCCGTGGGGTAGAGATGTCCCGATCCAGGTTTTTGCACTTCCGATCCGATACCGATATTGTTTTTGGACTTCCGATCCGATACCGATACTGGCCGATACCAGCCTATTCAAGCATGCATTTAAGTTTAAGTTAAAGTATTTAGCCTTAGTTGTAAGACTCATGTTGAAAAGGGTTTTAGTACTCTTGATAACATCTAGCCAGCTGAATTAGGTGAGATTGAATAAAACACAATGCTTGGTAACAACAAACGTACCTGTTTATTAAGAGATAAACACAAACTGGACAAAATTATGAATAGCAATCTGAAATTGCACAGTGAACAGTAAAACCGTAAACAGTTAAAGGTGCAAGTATTACTGTAAGTTTTAATAAAAATGCAAAACAGACAAGAGTGGAAAATATTCTATTAACTTAGAATCAGGACTCTACTCTTGAAAAAAGACACTGCTTAAAAAAAAACAGTGCAAATAACAGTGAACTATTACACAAAAATGCCTTATACTCCCCAATCTCCTCCACACCTAGTCTCTATCTACACATCATGCAGGATAAAATAATCCCACACGGCTGACCACGGATCCCCTTCCCCGCTATCTTCCAATTCACCTGTTTTAATGGTTAGGCCGGGAGACAGACCCAAAAAGACCTGTGGGTGTGTTGAAGGTGTTCTGGAAAATGCGGACCGGATTCGGGGAACACTGGCGCAAAATAGTGGAATGGATCGTTTCAATCGGCGAAACTGGAAAATACGGACCGGATTTTTTTTTAAAAACTGGATCGGCAGTCTGGATCGGCATTTTTACATTCTTTGCCGATTCGCATTTTTTTGCCAATATCGGCGTCCCGATCCGATCCACGTATCGGATCGGGACAAGCCTACCGTGGGGCGCCTCCCCCATCCCAACTCCGCTCCCGCAGGAGTCCCTCTCAGCGCTGCAGTCAGAGGATGTTTACCCTCAGCGTCCAGACTGCAAATGAAGCGCGCATGCGCCGGGTTGACGGCGCAAATTGATCACAATAATTAAAATAGCCTGTGCTTTGTAAAGCGAAAAAAGTCGTAACATGCAACTTTTGTAAAAACAAATTAACATGGCGCGGAAGCACCGCTGTTATGATGCAGCACCTGAAAAGGAAACACGTTGGAGCCTTCGATGGCAGTGAAGAGAGCTGATCAGCAGGATGAGCGACCATGTTTGTTTCGTTTTAAAGTGGGGAAACGTAACGTTAGTTTCTCAGGTAGCTCATCTGATGCTTTCCTTACAGTGTTAGTAGGTTACAGACAGTGATAAGGTTGGCTACTTATTTTACTTTTAATTTCATTTGAATTAGCTTAAGCAGCGTTTATATTTTCTTTATAAAAAAATTAACTTGCAAATTATGAGGGCAAGGCTTTTAAAGTTTAAATCTTCTGGCAAAGATAAAGTAAAGAAGATCCTGCAATTTATGGAAGTAAAGCAGAATAAAATCAAGGAAGATCAGTAATATGTCTATTAATTATATGCCACATTCCCATGTAAATATCTGTCTTTGGAGGATGTGTTTTTTAGCACCCCTAGTTCTCTCATTTTTATTCCAAATACAATTTATAATTTGAATCACAGGGCTATTTTTATCTCTATGGTTAAGTATTTTCTCAAGTAGCAACTTTAACTGCTATACTTTCCTGTCTTAAAAGGCAGAACTCTATTAGTCTAAAAAAACCTCATTTGTTGAAATGGTGGGACCTATTGTTTGAACCCCTTAGGGGCTTTAAAAAACAAAAATGTCTTTTTTTGCACCTTATGAAACAAAGTACCCTATATTTTGTGGATGTACAGCTACATTTCTCATGTAAGTTTGCGTAGTTTTAACACAAACATTTATTTTTCATATTGCACCTTTACAGTTAATGAGCAACCTGTACTTGTGTGCTTGTTTGTTCTGTCTAAAATGTTTATTTTGGAATAAAGAGGTTAGTATAAAAAATATTTTTTATCCGATTAATCGATTAATCGAAAAAATAATCGGCCGATTCATCGATTTTTAAAATAATCGTTAGTTGCAGCCCTAGTAATATCACAATCTAGTAGGTTCAATTTCACAAAGGGGCTTAAAAAAGATAAATAGGGCAACTTTGCTAAACCTGTTTTATTATTTTTTTTAGACAGCTTAAATGAGCCCCATGGATTTCTTAACATCTATTTTTTCTATGATATGTTAAAGTCGTAGGGAAACGGCTGTTCCAACCATTGCATTTCCAAATTCTCCTGAGTGGTGCCCGATTTACACGAGTGAATAAAGTGAATGTGATTGGTCATTTATCAAGGGGGCTGGATTGTTGCGGAAGAAGGTTCGCAAGCATTTTGGGTTTGGCCAGTTTGCCAGAAGCATCTTGCTAACCAGATAGCAACTTAGTGCTAGCAGGTTCCTAATGGGAAATTACATTGGGACCAAGTAAATTGGTGACTTAGAAACAACACTGTCAGGAACGCTATGGACAGCGAAAACATGCAAGAGGAGGAGAGTTTTGTGTCTGAGGTCATGGATGAGTCTCCTCTGTCACACATTTTGTATTTAGAGGAGGAAAGCGGGGACAAAAATGTTGTGGAAGAGGACGCCAGGGCGGCAGAAGCTTGGTTTGGTGTAAAAGGCTTACAGCCGTACATGTTTGAGCCGTTGCCTCGCAACGCTGCCAGTTCTGCTCTATGCCTGCTGAAGACACAGACGTCCATCCGACGTAACTCAAGGGTAAAGTAAATAATTCTTATTTCAACCGTCGCGTATATTAGCTGCAACAACTGAATCAAGATGCTATGACCGAAAACAAATTGATTGACAGATGACAGTTGATGCATGATTGGCCGAATTTAAGTGTACAAGCTGACGTATAACTAACTGGCCTGCATAAGATGACGAAATTTTTTTTAAAAATAGAAATTTTCTAACTTTTGGGACAATATCAAGTGATAAAGAGTACATTAATAAACATGTTTAAGCCAGAATGATTTAAAATTCAAATATGACTTCCCTTTAAGACGTGCATGTGGCTCATTTAAGTTGTTTAAAAAAAAAAGGAAAAATTTTGAGCGAAGTTGCCCTATTTATCTTTTTTTAAGGTTTGTTATAAAATTTATCTAGATCTGAAATTGTGGAAGATTGATTTTTTATTCTTTCTATGTAACATTTGTTCATCTTCCCTTAACAACACCAACCAAACCACAGAGGGTGGCTGTCACTGACTGGAGAAAGATTTACTTTTTGAATTTCTCAATAGCTGGTTAAAAAAGGGCCAATCCAAAAAAATAAATAAATCAATAATAAAAACAAAATGAAAAAAATATCCCCTGATTTTAGTCACCCGATTTCTCTCAAAGTTTCTCTTCTGCTTTAAAAGCTCCTTCCCTGCTCTTGCTCTTTATGCACTGGCAGCTCTGTCCTACTTGCAGGTGGACCTTTTTCTGTACGCTCAGGTCAACTTTTGTCACTTTTCTGACAGGAGTACTGATATGCTTTAAAATGAAGAATGTGAAGTATGAGCTAAGTTTATGCTAGCTTCACTGTTTCTATTGAGTAAAGTAAGACTTGAATTAACTCTAGTTTATAGGTGAACACAGGCATTTAAACTTCTTTGCAGTTTGAGGCTTTTGTAAAGCATCATCTGTCCAGCATTACAACGGTAGAATTTTCCTGAAAAGTAATCAATAACAAGCAGTTTATCTTCTCAGGTTGGTTCCCACCTCAAAGTGACAAAAATTGACATGAGCGCCCTGAAACAGGTACACACCTGACATTACTGGTTCTGTGGCTGCATCCAAAGCATATAGTTGCTACGGCGGTTGCTATGACATGCGCTCGGATTTGGCTGAGCAATCTGATCACATTTTTTGGCCGTTTGTTTATGATAACTGTCAGGTCTTCGCTGTTAAAATACGAAAGGAGCTTTCCTCTTAGCTATCTTTTAATCCCATCTTTAAATAAAACTTTTCATTAGAGTATTTATTATGCTTGTGCACTTATTGCAGAATTCTGACTTCATAAGAATGCAAATACTAAAACCACAACATATTTACATTTACCAAACTATTTTCATAAAACAATGCATAAAACGGTCAGTATTTTTCAACTAAGTAAGCATATTTTCAAAACCGTTTTAACTAAAATATTTATTATTCTAGATTTTACTGATAGAAAGTAATAGATATTTATTTTTCAAGCAGGTGCAGTATGAAGTATTTTATAAAGGAAGCAGTTGAGGTTTTGTTTAAATACGGCAAAACATGAACAAGAAGCAAGAACAAAGTAGTTACCATCTTCTGCAGGTCAACTGTGCTTATCCGTCCTGCCTCCTTCTTCATCTGGTCCACACCCTTTTGTGCCAGATTGAGGTAGGCCTGTAGGTGATGTCTCATCATGGCGAGTCGGAGCACACACATCAGTATAATAAGCCATAACCTCAACGTATCAAATGTCTCCTCACTCATCCTGGTATTAATAGGAAGGCGGATATAAGGGAGGAGAAACAAAAAGAAAACTAGTTTGTTTTTTTTTCTGGTTCGAAAAAACATCATAAAGCTCCATCTGGATAGTAAGTAGAGATGCTGAGAGAGAAAGAAATGACGAGGGGAGGAAAAAGAGACACAAACAGCTCAGAGGAAAAAGCAAGAGAGGGTGAAATTGAGGTATAAAAAGGTGAAAAGGGGGTAGTGTAACATGAAATTAAACTTAATCAGGTTTGACCTTGATGTGTATAACAGACTATGTCAAAGGCAGAAGAAAGTTAGATAGGAGACAGACTTCAAACAACAAGTATAAGACATGTTAGAATTAACGATGAGAGTTAAGATAAAAAACAAAACTGTTTTGTCAATAATATATTTGCTTTTGGTTTCATTCAACTGTATGAAGACAACGTCTGCATTGTTGTCACTTCATTGAGGGACTAAACTCAACATTCTCCTACTTCTCATTAAAAACCTCTAATCTGTATGGAAACATTAAACTGTATCGTATAAGATCATATACCGGTAGATCTACAGTACTCAGAAGCTGACTTGCAGCAGAGAGACCAGAAACTGGTGAATTAAACTATATTAAATCTCTTAAACTCGTCTTATCGTGCAAATGTAAAGCACCTCTAATTCATTAGAATCTCTGCTGCTAAGATATTACAGTCAGCAGTCATTCTGTAATAGAAAGTTACAAGTTTCTACGTTGACAGTTCATATGAAAGTTACTGCAATATTAGGCAAAGTTGCATAACATTACAAATTAATCAGAAGTCAACATTTACACAATTTCTAATGTAGATTTTATTTTTGGAAATGTATTTTTGCCGATAAGAGAACTAAATATGATTTTTACAGTATTTAAAAGAAAAAAAGCAGTATATAGTATTGTATGGTAAGGACATGATACTTTTACTTACAAAGGCACACTCTCCTTCCCAAGAGTGGGATTCAGTATGTAGTCCTTGGTAATAGGCTTTACCCACAGCAGGACCATAATGAGAGGGGAAAGGAAGTTGATATAAAGCAAAGTTCTGTGAAACAATTAAGAAGCAGAGACATCTGGTAAACAGTGCTGCAAAGCTTTATCATTCTGACCTAGTGTATTGTTGAAAAGCTGACCTGGAGTCTTTCATTTTAACCCTAATGTCCTGCTTTAGAAATCTAACCTTCCCCTGTTACAATCATGATAAACAAACTCTATCTTAATTATAACTGAGCTGAGGAGGAGGATGATGGAGATCTACAAATAAACAGTGATAGTGCACAATGGCTTTGACAGTGGATCAGTGAGTAACGCTGCGGAAAGATTGTTAGTTCGATTCCAGCTTCCCCTGGTCACATGTCGATGTGCCCTAAGGCAAGGCACATTGCTTACTGACCTGCAGATCGGTGTATGAATATGTGCGCATTAGTGAATGTGTTTGGGTGAATTTGACTACAGTAAAAAGTGAACTTCAGTGGAGGACGAGAAAAGCACTGTTATAAATAAAATCATTTACCACTGAAAATGGGAATGTTTTGTTTGCTTTAGCGATGCCAAATTCAGGAAAAAAATAACATGGAAAAAAAAACAGAATAACCAAAACAAGAATCACTAGAACAGCATAAGCTCACAGTCTTTAATCTTCTTGCTTTCTGTGCCATCCACCACAGAGTTAGTGGTTCAATTCACCAGTGAAGCCTTCTAAATTTTACAGTGGCAAATTTAGACTTTTACTTGTTTGTTATATTTTCAGTGTTTCACTTTTTTGCTGTCCAATCTCCATAGCAGTACTAATTCAGTTACTCAAATTGAGAAAAACAAAATTTTGCACAAGTTACTTAACTTCAAATCTATTCTGCTCTCCTGAAATCTCCAGTGGTACACATAGAACTCTCATTTTAATAAGGGTGTCCACACCTCTTTTGCACCCGTTATCTGTTTTGCAAACATCAAACATGCCCACAAATTCCACATGCAATCACTTCACAAGCAATTTAGCGTTCCTTATTTGGAATCTTAGTATTTCAGCCCCAAGGGTAATATGAAACCTACTGCAGAAAAAACAAGATGAAACCAAAAACTCACTGTGTAAATTTTGCCGTGGTTAGATTAAGTGCATCTAGGTGCATCTGGGCCAATCGTAGGCCAGGAAACGTAAGAAAAGCTCCAATCAGAGAGCAGAGAAGGGCCAGGATCAGCTTGAAGGTGAGTTTAGATATGGGGCCCCTGTGAGAAATAAAAGGATGTAGTTTAAAAATTCTCATCCAAATGCCCTAAATGTAACCAAAAAGCAAAAGCAAAACTCTATGATGACATGATTAGGTAAAAGTTGCACACAGGCAAAACTGCTGAGGGTGTGGGGTTCCTCATTAGTATTCATTAATACTTTGCAATTTATGTTAAAAGACAGCAAGCAGATGTAAACCATTCCTAAGCATGATTAGGTCCAAAAACACTACATTTCAAGGTTGCAACTTACAATTATTTTGCTTACAATCTGTCAATTATTTTTCCTATTAAACAATTAAGAATCGGATTGCGAAAGGTTCTTTAAACGAGGTGGAACTCAAACTTTTCCACTTGAGGAGTTCTAGATAGAGCATATTAACAGATTAACAACTTTTTTAATCTTGAATGCAAAATGTTTACATATGTTTTTACAATCCTGGTATAATTACTGCACTAAGTGGGTTCCTCTGTCAGATAAAGGAATGTTTTACAGTCTCAATACTCAAGCTAACGATTTATCGATTACTAAAATAGCTTATGATCATTTCAATAATCAGTTAATCACGAATATTTCGAATAATTGTTTCAGCCCTACTACATTGACATTTGCTAATATAAAATGTTTGAAATATACAAAAAGAAAAAAAAAACAGCCTGCTAATAATTATAAAAATGTATAGAGTAAAAAACAAAAAGGCTCATGCAGTTTTGAGACCATATTATGTAAAAGGCTTTGTTTAAAAAAAAAAAAAAAAAAAAAAAAACAACTAGACGGTGAGAGAGCAAAATGTGAACTCATATGTATAGTATAATACAGTATAACACTCATAAGGTATTTTAGCTTTTAATTTAATAATAATGTTTCTGATTGTTGGCTAAAGAACATTTGTAAAAGACCATTTAAAACAATCTTCACACATCAGTGTTTCAGTACCACGGACAGAGAACATGGACATTAGTTAAAAAAATAAAACAGCAGCTCAAACTCAACTATTAGCACAATTGTTATATGGTTTAAAACGGTTTTAAATCCTCTAATATCGATCTCATTAATGGACCTGTAATTTATGTTATTTTGGAGTTGTCTTTTCATTGACATTTTGGAAATTATGTTTATTTTAATGTTAATGTTTTCATTTGTATGTCCAGCACTTTGAGGACCTTTGTTATTTTAAAAGTGCTTTAGAAATACAGGCTATGAGTAATGTTAATATAACATTGAGTATACCAAGTAAGTTGAAAAGCCTAAAACAAGCTCAATATGAATGTAATACTGTTGGATTAGTTAGATGAAGATTAGATCATGTATTTAAACAATCATGGTCATTTTAGGCGTTAATGTCAGAGCTAAACAAATAATGCTAAGATTTTTTTTTAAATAAAAAGTGGCACAGATGAATAATTTTCCACTATGTTAGAACCCCCTTCAACTACAACTATATGCACAAAAACATAAGTACTTACTGTGAATCTAAGCCCTGATGCTCTAGAAACTGTTGAGCACTGTCAGAAAAATTTGCAAAACCTGAGAGTGAAGAAAGATTAAACAGTGACTCGCCATAAGAAGTGAAAAAAGGCTGTCTACTCTTTGAAGTAATTTTTTAGAAAAACTTTTGATGCACTGACCTGTCTCCAGACCAAACTCCAGATAGTTTTCGGTGACAATGAGAATAATCATTGCTTTGACAAAAAAAAAGAAAGCAAAGGTTATGCAGAGGGAGCGTTCGCCTCCTTCCTCTAGCTTGAAGTAGTGGGCCGTGAGGGATGAAAGGATTTTACTAGAGAAAAAAAGCTGTCAAGGAAATACACCGAAACATAAACTAAATATATTTGTTTTTTAAAAACTTTTTCACTAATTAAAACTGAAAAATATGAAGGGATCTGTATATGGAACCTCCTAACTCAAATGGTTTAAAATCACCTGTTGTTGCAGCTGCAAGTCTTTTGGGATAGCTCCCATTTTCCTCTCTAGATCCAGGTTTATAAGACTAGATAGTCAGTATATGTAAACAACTATTGCCAAATTTAGCCACAAATGCCTTCTAGTCATTTCATCTGCATGCACACAAACTGGAAAGTCCTAATCTTCTCTATACAGTAGACTACAGCAGTTTAACCCTCCCTATTGGTGGTCTACAATGTAAAAATAAATAATAGATTTTAGCAAGACATCTAATGGATGGATTTCCGATTAAAATTAAGAATGAGAAGGGAGTGGATGATGAAAGGATACATGACAAAGGCGAGTACAAGTAGGCACCAGACCACGCTGATGTTCATCTCCCCTGAGGGCTGGGCCACACTGTAGTAAAGCTCTGTAATCAGATACACTGCTGTAGCTGCTACTGTGAAATCCACCAGCCACTGGAACTCAGGAAAGTAGTACAATGCTAAGGGAGAAAAGAAGAAATTAAAATTACTATACTATTTAAGTGTTAATGCAATACAACGTAAAAACATAAATAAACTTTGTCTGAAATTCTCTGGGTTGGAGAAGTTTGAAAACATACCTAATGTGTCGACTTCTGTGATGCATTTTGTCTCCAGTTGCAGGTCTATGTCCTTTGGAACCGTTAGCGGTTTATTGTCTATGTGACCATTGTACTTCCTAGTACATGAGGATAGCACCAAGAAAATCAGTGTTAACATTAAAATACAAAGAAACATAGACAATCTCAAAGCTGTGTAAAAACACAAGGAGTAAAACTGGGTTTACCACACAAAATGAAGACAATAATTCAATATCAACATGTATCATAATAAAACTTTATTAAAACTGTGATATGACATTTCAGGTGTTTCAATATACATTACAGCAAATGCTTACCGAATTTGTCCTTTACATTCTGAGTTTTCTGTAGAGTCTATTGAGGAACAGCACTTTCTTTTTGGAAGTTCTTCATAAATGCCATTTGTAAGCCGTTTTTTAAAATGCTTTCTAATAACAGTCCACACTGTATTAATATTTAATGTGCATGTATTTTTAAAATTAAACATCCTGTACCTTTTACCTGTACCTTGCTGAACGGAAGAGCCCCCTCATATGTTGCTCAAAATGTACGATACTTAGATCGACCAAATCTGAACTAAAAAAAACAAAATTACCTTGAACATTTTCTAACATACATTTTGCGATTCCTGTAACTTGACACCTTGCTCTTATGAACCTTATTAGGACTGAAATTAACGATTTATTTGCAAATCGATTAATCTGTCCATAATTTTTTCGATTAACTGGTTAATAATCAGATGGCCAAAGGTTCTTTAAAGAAGTTTTTTTTTACAAAATTAAACCAGGTGAAACCAAAACGTTTCCATTTGAGGAGTTCTGGATATAGCATATTGGTAGACAAAAAACATTCTTTTTTTTTTATCTTAAATGCAAAATGTTTAAATTTTCACAATTTTGATATAGTTACTGCTCTATGTATGTTGCTCTGTACACTAAATGCATATTTTAGAGTGTCTATAGTCCAGTTAACGATTAATCGATTACGGAATAAGTTAACAATTATTTCAATAATCAATTAATCATGATGAATCTGATTAATTGTTTCAGCCCTATACCTAATAAAATGTAATATAATGAGCTAAAAGTTCCATTACACCCTTCAATCATTAGCCTCAGTGCTGCTAAGGTTGGGTGTCACAGGGTTTAGAAGTTACTTTTAGAATCAGGAACATTATAATCAAAGTAGGCTAGAGATTTTTCAACTTTGTATTCATTATTACTTTTTCTCTCCCATCTCCAAATTCAGAAGCCTGAGGATTATAGTAATCTTGAATGAGCCTATGGCAAAAAAAAAGTTGAGTAGTCCTTCGTGACAAATACCAGAGGCCTCTTTCATGTTAACAGAGGGAGGTCAACACTAACAGGTGGAGAATAGAGAAAAACTGCGTACATCCTGGACTCAGAAATACAATGCCACCGTAAGACGCTAGCACCAAACATGCCCTTGACAGATTTCATCTATGAGACACCTCACAGGAAAAAAAAAAGGATTAGCTCCACCCCTGACTGAGGGAGTCACTCTGGTAACAAAGAAAATGGAGTTGATTGAAAAGAGCTGAAAAGGATAGTGGTCCATCTTTTTTCTTAAAGGAATTATTGAACATGTGGTGCTGGAGAGACTTGACCTGCCTCTGACAGGGTCAGAGAAAGGACTACAAAAAACATCTCTAGTTCAGATATACCATGTGGTATGGTAAGGATTAACGTCAAGATACCTTATTCAGATTCACTCTGCCAGGGTAGGTGGGTGTGGGGTGCAAAGCAGAAACAGCTAGTAAACTAAACAGATGGTATAACATTTTTTCGGCATAAATGAAACCTTTTCGGAGATGAAAAATAATTTAAGTCGAAAACAATGTTTAGGAATAAAAGTCTCTCTATTTTAAAAATATATTGCTTTTATAGGAACTGCAGCATTCTACACCATTACCTTTCAGAATAGCAGCCCAAATAAAAAAGTATCCCACCTGTCTTTCCGTTTTTGTCCCTTTTGTTTACCAGCCAGGTTCCTCAACTCATCTTCTGTGGGATGTTGATACCACCGCAGACTGCAGAAAAATAAAAGGGACAAGATGTTTTGTCAAACAGTGAAATACAGCCGCAAAGAGTCAAAAGCTACAAAACAAAGCAGATGTTTTTGTGGATATAATACATGTTTACAACAGATTAAAGCAAAATGTATCCAACTATGTGATCATTGAGCAGAAAGTAGATTAAATTTGTTCTGAAATAAGTTTGGATTTAGAAATACTGCATTAAAATGAATCAAATTACCACTGTGTGTTTATTAACCCTGCTTTTTATGAGAAGTACATTTCACCCATTGTTTGTTACTTTTAAATCCATCACTATCAGAAATATTTAAGTTTCACTGAAAACTATGATTTATAATATAAATCATACATTTTACAATTTCACTTTAAAAAAACAAAGTACTCAGTGCATAATGACAACAGCTTAGTAACTGTGACACAGTCGATACATACATATAATACAGTCACTGCACATTGAAAGCTTCCTAGAGAAAACTTACACTTACAAATTTCTTTCTGATTAAAAAATAAATAAATAAATCAAAAACACACTGATCCTCATAGTTTAGAGCCAAGATATTCTTCCAGTTTCCAAGGCAAAAGATTTATACTTTTTTACGCTATAATTTCCAGAGTTCTATTTGAATTTTGGAATTTGGCATGTAAATGTGGATCTTACAACACCTACAGTAGAATTAATGAGTGGCATTGATGGATGCATAAACGGGCATATTGATGGATGGACAGATAGGTAGAAAAGAACAGTAATATGGATGAACAGATTGATTGATGAACCAATGGATGAATCCGTAGAAGGATGGATGCAGAAATGAGTAAACGGTAGACAAATGGATACATGGGAATCTAAGTTTCAGAAAAATAACTGAAAACACATTAAGACCTCCATAGTGGGTAATTACATGCATGTCATTCACACCACGTTTTGGAGAGTCCACCTTACATTACCTTTAATGCAATAATTACACAAAGTGAGCTGTGTTCAAACATGTTGCAGCATATACAGGTTTAAATGAGGCCTACTGGACGAAGAGGTTACAAAGAATACAATTTTAGTTCTTTCAGGAAATTCATTAGGAGTTACAGTAAATAACTCATATAGTGGCCCATGATTCAGTATCCAAGGAAAGGGTCATTTAAATACTTCTTAGAATGTTGGAGTACTTCTGAGAAAATCTACTTTAAAATCTAAAATAACTTGGGCTTAAACTGGACTGAAAAAGTCTACAACATAAGTCTCAGATGCATCACTGCTCCAACGAAGCGGACTCAAACTAATGGCTCGTTAACGAGGCCTTTGCCAAACTGAAGATGCTGAAAAGGTAACCAGTCATTTGAATTGACTGTGTAGGAGTGGATGCATCTAAAATTTGCCGGACAGTAGGTCTTGAAGACCAGGGTTGGAGACCTTCTCTACACTAATCAAAAATACAATTGATCCAATCAACCAAATAAATATCTTTTTTTCAAAAACAAAAGTGATTATTCTGTATATTGAAACCTATACCTAAAAGTATTTTTCTTTTCTTGCATAACCTTTCATGGTCTTTTTATAGTATTCTCTTTTAGCAGTCTTATATGACTACAGGTGCTGGTCATAAAATTAGAATATCATGAAAAAGTAGATTGATTTCAGTAATTCCATTTAAAAAGTGAAACTTGTATATTATATTCATACATTACATACAAACTCATATATTTCAGATGTTTATTTTGTTTAATTTTGATGATTACAAATGACAACAAATGAAAATCTCAAATTCATCATATCAGAAAATTAGAATATTACTAAAGACCAATAAAAACAAAGGATTTATAGAAATGTTGGCCAACTGAAAAGTATGAACATGAAAAGTATGAGCATTTACAGCACTCAGTATTTAGTTGGGCCTCCTTTGGCCTGTATTACTGCAGCAATGCGGCGTGGCATGGAGTCGATCAGTCTGTGGCACTGCTCAGGTGTTATGATAGCCCAGGTTGCTCTAATAGTGGCTTTTAGCTCTTCTGAATTGTTGGGTCTGGTGTATTGCATCTTCTTCTTCACAATACCCCATAGATTTTCTATGGGGTTAAGGTCAGGAGAGTTTGCTGGCCAATTAAGAACAGGGATACCATGGTCCTTCAACCAGGTACTGGTAGCTTTGGCACTGTGTGCAGGTGCCAAGTCCTGTTGGAAAATGAAATCTGCATCTCCAAAAAGTTGGTCAGCTGCAGGAAGCATGAAGTGCTCTAAAACTTCCTGGTATGTGGCTGCGTTGACCCTGGACCTCAGAAAACACAATGGACCAACACCAGCAGATGACATGGCACCCCAAACCATCACTGACTGTGGAAACTTTACACTGGACTTCAAGCAACGTGGATGAAGTGCCTCTCTTCTTTTCCTCCAGACTCTGGGACCTTGATTTCCAAAGGAAATGCAAAATTTACTTTCATCAGAGAACATGACTTTGGACCACTCACCAGCAGTCCAGTCCTGTTTCTCTTTAGCCCAGGCAAGACGCTTCTGACGCTGTCTGTGGTTCAAGAGTGGCTTGACACAAAGAATGCGACAGCAGAAACCCATGTCTTTCATACGTCTGTGTGTGGTGGTTCTTGAAGCACTCACTCCAGCTGCAGTCCACTCTTTGTGAATCTCCCCCACATTTTTGAAGGGGTTTTGTTTCACATTCCTCTCCAGGGTGCGGTTATCTCTCTTGCTTGTACACTTTTTTCGACCACATCTTTTCCTTCCCTTCGCCTCTCTATTAATGTGCTTGGACACTGAGCTCTGTGAACAGCCAGCCTCTTTAGCGATGACCTTTTGTGTCTTGCCCTCCTTGTGCAAGGTGTCGATGGTCGTCTTTTGGACAACTGTCAAGTCAGCAGTCTTCCCCATGATTGTGTAGCCTATAGAACTAGACTGAAAGACCATTTAAAGGCTTTTGCAGGTGGTTTGAGTTAATTAGCTGATTAGAGTGTGGCACCAGGGGCCATCAATTTTGAACCTTTTCACAATATTCTAATTTTCTGATATGATGAATTTGAGATTTTCATTTGTTGTCATTTGTAATCATCAAAATTAAACAAAATAAACATCTGAAATATATGAGTTTGTATGTAATGTATGAATATAATATACAAGTTTCACTTTTTAAATGGAATTACTGAAATCAATCTACTTTTTCATGATATTCTAATTTTATGACCAGCACCTGTATACCATGATACACTATGCAATATGGATCTAATAAACATTAGTATACCATCAAGTTTGATTTAAACAATGTACAATAGACATTTACCACCAAGCTGTTACAACGTACAGCAATAACCACCTTCATCAGCACCAACCATCAATCTGTGCTTTTAGAGAAACAAAACAACCAATATATATAGTAAGCAGCTCTAGTGGGGTTTATTTTCATCAATTCAAATTTGAAGACGGGAGAAGGAGGAGAATGGAGGTGTGGTTATGGCTGCTGAATAGGGGGCATCCTGGCATGTCAGATTTATAGACAGAGTTGGAAGTATGTATTTATTACTCACCTATCAGCAGTTATTGTCTATAACATCAATTGTATGGTTTCTCAATTGATATATGTGGTTCAGTAAAGAACAAAATAAAGAAAAGAAAAATACAGACACACACACAAATTGCATGCAATGATTCATAGAAAATTAATACCTGGGATGGCAAGAACATTTCTATTGACCAATAAGTGGTCACAATGTGAGCCAGTATCATTTTCATCTCTCTCTCTTTGGTCTATCGTCTCTCTTCTGCGTCCAGAAAATCACACAGCTTTTAACAACCATAAAGTATCCAAAATAACAAATAAACAAACATATTCCTTTGTTTTATTTTAAATAGAATGAGGCTCTACATATCAATCTTTGTTAAAGGCACACTATGCAACATTTTTCAGTTAATTAATGTGTTCCATAACGTTTTGGATGATTAAATGAGTCATTTCAGGTTGGACAAAGGTATTCTCGGCCGCCCTGGTGGTCTGTGGGGGAAATACAGCACTTGCAATTGCAGGAGCCCTCGGCCCGCACCAACAGGCTCAGAAGTCTCGCGAGAGTCGGTCTTGCTTTACGGCGAGAACTGCTACACGCCCCCAGTTAAAAGCATGCTCGTTGCTAGCACAGTGGCGATCTTTGTGCAGTTATCATGGCGGAACCAGCGTGAAAACAGCGAAAGCCCATGTCGGAGCAGGCAAGAAAGAGGAAAAGGGCTCCGGACAGAGAGAGGAGTCGTACACGGGTGAACATCAGGCAAGCTTTTTCCGAATGGCGAGAGCTAAAATAAAAAGAAGGCTGCAAGGCTGACGCGGACCTAGCGTTTCTGCTGATGCGATTGTAAGTAACATTGGAATGGTTTCTCTCTCTCTGTGTGCATGTTCATACTTTCACTGTGTTAGTCATTTGTTGCGTTCGCCTGTCTGCTAAGCTCAAAACAACCGCGCCTGGCTTGAAGGAGAAACCAGGAGAACAGCTGAGCATTTTTACGACAGTGCACTTTTACTTTCGCCCTCTGGGGGGAGCCTCGCTGGAAAATCAACACCGGTTGCATAGTATACCTTTAATAGAGTAAACAAAGAATACTTCAGTTTATATTTAACTTGAATACTTTGGACTTCTTTAGGCAAATTTCAGGACTCGTACATCTCTAAAGCAAGAATCCTCTTAGGGAAATCGGGTCTAATTTTTGTTTGTCTTTGCTCAAAATTATGAGCCTCCTTATGAAAGCTATACTGTGTCACCCAAACAAAGAAGAAATAAATACAATGACTGAGTGTATAAATATTCCAATTTTTGTGTTGATGACACTTATCCCACCAGAACGGTGAAATGCTTCCCCAATAATAAACCCTGGATAACCAGTTAACTGAAGGAAAGGCTAAATAAGAAAAAAAGAACCTTCAGGATGGGGGGGATGGGGAGCTATTCAAGAGTACACAGAAGCAACTTATAGTCAAGATAAGTGAATGAAATGTGGTATATGAGAAACTCAGGTAGAACAATATCAGAGCTGTGTGGTCAGCTGGGGGGAGCAAGTAAAGCCTGGCGGCCTGCAAGGCTTATAACATAGTGGGGGAAACAACCCTCCTATCTTTTTCTGATGCTAAAATATATATATTCTTTCATTTAGTTATGAACTGGTTATTCTTTATATATAAATCTCATCAGAAAGGATTCAGATACCCAAGTAGTGTTTAGTAGCTGATGCCGTGTCATACAATCAGAATTTCATACCGCCTCCTAATCAAGACTTGACTTCTAAATTGTATTTTTCCAAAAATGGGATTCAAAACTTATCAAAAAACCTCAATATGTACAGGAAAGTGCAGCTTGAATCCTGATGAAGTAAAGGAAGCATGGCTCCACTCGCTTTCAATTTCACTCTCCATTATTACAAGGTTTACTTCCTGGCTCACTCACAAGTTTGTCAGTTTGTTAGAAAACTAAATGCACACAACTGTAAAAGCTGTGCCAGCACTCTACTAGGAGCTGTACGTCGCTCATCAATGGAGATGCCGGGTTTGCGAAATTGGCCAAGCAAGACAGAAAGTCAGGCAGAAAGGAACAATTGCAGGTCCCTTTAGCATTCAAATGGCACTATAGGGAAAGCTCAGGGAACAGAGGTAACTCAAGTAACAGCATTTATTCTGTTCGGTGAGTTGTAAAAAAACTTTAACACTAAACATGTAAAATTGTTAGGAATTTAAATATTCGTGAGTGCTATATCAACCAGCATTGCGTAAGCCTGTCAGTATTACTATTTGATTTGCTATAATGCCCATTACTCTTCAGAGTATGAGTTGAAACCATTGTTTTTAATAGTTAATGTTTTTTAAATAACAGATCAGTGTAGAGATGAAACAATTATTTGGATTCATTGAGATTAATCGATTATTGAAATATCTGTCAACTAATTTGGAAATGTATAAATCTTAAACTAGACTATACTATAGAGACTAATACATGCCATTAACCGAAAGAGCATCCTACTAAGAAAGGTAATCATGCAAAAACTGTGAAATATATAAAAACAATTTACATTTAAGATGACAAACATTTTCTTGTGAATATGCTCAATCCAAAACTCCTCAACAGGCATAGTTAAATTCAACTTGGTTTAAAGTCAGTTTTAATTATCCTTTAAGTTAGCTTTTGCAATCTGCTAACTAATTGATTAAATAAAAACAATAGGGTAGATCAATTAACAAAATAATCATAGTTGCAGCCCTAGCTCATTGCTTGTCATAGTGTCAATAAGAGCAAGAAGGTTTGCTTTCAGTAAACATACTACCATGTGTTCAATAACCAAAGTATCTGTGCTTCTTCCTGCAGGATTTAAAGCATAGTTGTACGTTGGTAAATACATATTTTTGAAATATTTCATGAAAGAAGTAAGATTATTGTTATCTGAAAACATAGCTTGCCATGCATATAAACTGATAATAATGCACATATAATAAAATGTAATAGATGTTGCTCAATTTCTTCATAAAGGGGAAAACGGGACACATTAGCCATGGTGTTTGGCTGTTGTTCCTTTTCAACATGTATCACTTTTAAATGTGTCAAACTTTAACAGAGATCAGCTACATTTTTAATCAAATCATTCAGGTGTAAGGAATGATCTTATATTACCTGCCACTGCACAGTAGCCATCTTGCGAAGGAGTAATGAGGTAAAATTTTCTGAATAACACTGGCCATTACCATGGTAACCACCAGCTGCACGCCAAACAAAGCCTGTAAGAAAAAAAGGAAAAGTATATAAAGTTATTGATAGACACTACAAACATTGGAAATAAAAACTGTCTTTAAAAAAAAAAGATATTTACGGTAAATACTTTTTAACTTATTCAATGTTCTATTATTTTTATGGATACTTTCATGTATTGTAAAATTACAACCCAAAAACTAGAACAGAAAAAAAAGACAGAACAATGTTCATTCATTCGGTTTTTCCTCCCTAATAACTATCAAACAGAGTAACTTTAAGAATAAATTAGGAGCCTTCAGTAAAATGTCATTTCATCATTCTGGCATCAGTAATAATTGAAATGGTAATGGATGACATTTTACTGATATTTTCAACCTGACATTGTAGTAAAACAAAAAAAGCAAAGGGAAGGGAAAGTATAAACAAGAAAAAAGTAGTTGGTGGTGATTACTTGACAAGCCAGGTATGATAAAAACTGTATTTCTTTTTATGAGTAATAAAGCACAGTTAGGTAGTTATTTTTCAAATCTGTTTATATAGCACCAACTCAAAATAACATTTTTAAAGTTTGGTCGATATGATATAAATTTGACATCCAAAATAAAATAAAATAAAAAGCATGAGAAAGACTGCCAAGTTTGCCCACAAGATCCCTGAACAAACCTCTTACAATTATTTTGCAATTTTGACAAAAATCCTCTAACACACCATTTTGTAAATATTTAGTTGAAGCGTTTCAGTAGCTGTTATGTAGGATGGTGGTCAGAAGACCCTGTGTACAGCAGCGTGGCTTCTGTTAGGGCAGCTGTGGCTACTATCTAGCATGCCACCCTCAGTGTGAGAGTATGTGGAAGAATGGGTGAATTCCTTAATATAGTGGAAAATGCTTCGGTTAAGACTCCTGATTTGAAAAGGTACTATAAGTGCAGTCCAGTTACGATACTACACTAAATGATATTTTGATATATATTACTAATAAAATTCAGCTGTATGAGGAGGTGGGAAGTAGTGTCTTAAAATAAACTGCAACTGTAATCAACTTTTTAGGCAGACCTGTGAGGATACTGGTGCAGTAATCAATTCTACTAAGTATGAACATGAATTAGTTTTTAAAGGTCCTGCTGAGACATCAGTCCTTTAATTGAGGAGATGTTTTAGGTGATAAATGGATGATTTTGTTACCATCTTTGTTTGAAGGTTCAAATGGACATACTAAATCTGAATGAACTAAATAAAATAACTCGTATGACAGAAAAATGGAAGCAAACCATCAAACCTGGTTTACCACAGCAGTGAAGCAGCGGCACATTTTATAATGCATAAGTGCTGCATCTTCCATAAATTTACTTAATTTTTCTATCTAACCCTTCTACTACTCATTTTTTATCATGTTTTTTTGGCCAGACAGAGCTTTCATGGTTGTTACACAAAGATGTAACAACAAAAGAAGCTCAATCTCAGCCCAGAAACCTCAGATCAATATTCGCTTAGGTTTAAGAGGCCAGAATCATTCCCATCAAGCTGTGCTTTTATCCACTCACTGTGGGCTTAGATCTTTTGGTGGGTTTCTCCTTGGCAATCGGTAAGAATCATTTATATCTTTTTCTGTGCACACTTCAGGAAAAAAGGCCAATTAATCTGTGATAAAATGTTTTCCTTTTCCAGGGGGAGTCCAATGGCTGCGATGCTTGAACTCAATGCCAGTTAAACTACACTTAAAAACCCATTATCCGTCTCTTTGTGTTCTTAACAGTCTAGATAAAGTCTAAGTGATTTCAATCAAATCAAATTCTTTAACTAATTCCCATTTCCTCAATATTATTAACCCTTGATCACCATCTCGGTGGTCACCTTAAAAAGATTGTTACTTTTTCTGTATTTATATATTAGATTTATTGTTTTGTTCTAGGTAGACTTGGTCTGAACATCAACATATTTGGAAAAAACATGTTAAGTCTTTTGTTTTCAGTGATCTGAATACCTTAACAAAACAATAACAAAATCCATAGCAAATGACAGTGTAATAGTTGGAAAATGATAGCAGGAAGAAGAAGAGCTACAGAGATTAATACATGGAGGATATAAAAAAGTAAGATATATTTACTCTTCATTTTGGATTGGTCAGAAGAAAGCCTAGTGACACACTGCAAGGGGTGAGCTTTAAAAGATGGAGTCAACACATCTCTAGAAGTACTGGAGGAGAGGGTGGGGGGGGGCCCTCATACTTGATGTGTGAGCAAACACAGCCTGTCTGACTTGAGACATTTCTTTATCGGAGTAACGGTCATGCTATATAGGTCAAAAGCACACAGACTTCCTCATGCGGATGCTGACCATTCCCTGTGGGGACCCATAAGGATCTCAGACCTAGGGGAAATTGACCCAGCATGTACTCCCTTATCTTGCCCAGTCCGCTTGACCCCCTCCAAACGACAATCAAATGAAATCTGTAGGGGGGATAACCAGCTTCTATAGGTGCTCAAATACCTGTTTTACTGATGAAACTAACTTTGCAGCTGTAAAACATGCTCTTTGGTGTTATTCAGCATGCCTACCACTGGGGTTATAGATACTCGCCAAATCTCAGTGCATATCTGAGGTAAACTACTAACCGCTGCAGCCAAAACTCTGGTCAGAATCTGTAACACATTTTATTTACCCCCTATCTAGTCATTTTTGCATTTTTTTGTAGAAAATGTACCGTTCTCTCTCTACTCATATGACCAAACAAGATCACACCTACAGAAAATAATTCCTATATACACATACACATATATATATATATATATATATATATATACTCACCGGCCACTTAATTAGGTACCCCATGCTAGTAACGGGTTGGACCCCCTTTTGCCTTCAGAACTGCCTCAATTCTTCGTGGCATAGATTCAACAAGGTGCTGGAAGCATTCCTCAGGGAGTTTGGTCCATATTGACATGATGGTATCACACAGTTGCCGCAGATTTGTCGGCTGCACATCCATGATGCGAATCTCCCGTTCCACCACATCCCAAAGATGCTCTATTGGATTGAGATCTGGTGACTGTGGAGGCCATTTGAGTACAGTGAACTCATTGTCATGTTCAAGAAACCAGTCTGAGATGATTCCAGCTTTATGACATGGCGCATTATCCTGCTGAAAGTAGCCATCAGAAGTTGGGTACATTGTGGTCATAAAGGGATGGACATGGTCAGCAACAATACTCAGGTAGGCTGTGGTGTTGCAACGATGCTCAATTGGTACCAAGGGGCCCAAAGAGTGCCAAGAAAATATTCCCCACACCATGACACCACCACCACCAACCTGAACCGTTGATACAAGGCAGGATGGATCCATGCTTTCATGTTGTAGACGCCAAATTCTGACCCTACCATCCGAATGTCGCAGCAGAAATCGAGACTCATCAGACCAGGCAACGTTTTTCCAATCTTCTATTGTCCAATTTTGATGAGCTTGTGCAAATTGTAGCCTCAGTTTCCTTTTCTTAGCTGAAAGGAGAGGCACCCGGTGTGGTCTTCTGCTGCTGTAGCCCATCTGCCTCAAAGTTTGACGTACTGTGCGTTCAGAGATGCTCTTCTGCCCACCTTGGTTGTAACGGGTGGTTATTTGAGTCACTGTTGCCCTTCTATCAGCTCGAACTAGTCTGGCCATTCTCCTCTGACCTCTGGCATCAACAAGGCATTTCTGCCCACAGAACTGCCGCTCATTGGATGTTTTTTCTTTTTCGGACCATTCTCTGTAAACCCTAGAGATGGTTGTGCGTAAAAATCCCAGTAGATCAGCAGTTTCTGAAATACTCAGACCAGCCCTTCTGGCACCAACAATCATGCCACGTTCAAAGTCACTCAAATAACCTTTCTTCCCCATACTGATGCTCGGTTTGAACTGCAGGAGATTGTCTTGACCATGTCTACATGCCTAAATGCACTGAGTTGCCGCCATGTGATTGGCTGCTTAGAAATTAAGTGTTAACGAGCAGTTGGAAAGGTGTACCTAATAAAGTGGCTATAAGTATCTATAGCATGAAATTGGCACACACAAACCCAGCATATGCGGAAAACGTTTGTGATTGGCAGGTGAAACTGTCAATCTACCTGCCACGTTGGCTGGGCAGCGAAAAAGACAACACACAACACTCAGGGTTTGTTGGCCGATCACATAGCCTTTTCTTTTTATAAGCAAGTCCCAATTTTTTCCTTGGAGTTTTTAAACAAAACATGGCAAAGTATGGATCTCATTCAACCATTACATCTGTTAAACCCATTTCTAGTGTTTAGTAACTTCTTTTTAGCTGTTTTTGAACACACCACAAGCATACACATGCTAACACAGAAGTTCAACGTGATGCAGAGTAGCACTAAATGTAAGCTACAGAAAGTTTCTAAAACCAACAGCAACAAGCAAAAATTTTGAAATTATTTTTTTTTTCAAACAAACCATTCAAGTTGGTAGACCTGTTAGCTCTAATTCTAGAAGCTAGTCACACCAGGTCAGAAACAGTTGTCATTATGTAGGCCTGGTCATAAATGAGATTAAGTTGGTCAATAACCCAAAAGCACATATATACACATGTAATTACAAAAGTAAATAGACACCCTACCAATGTCACATTTTAATTAAAAGGTTTAGAAAAATACACAAGAGTAACATATGACAAACTGTTTTATCTGTTATCACCAGATTAATTTTTCATACATTTGGGACTACTTATTTACAAGTGGTTGTAAATAATAGGATGATACATGACAACCCTGGTGAATAAAAGAATTCTAAAAAAGTGTTCATGTCAGTAAAGTGTTTACACTTTCACACAAACTTCCAGAGTTATCAACTGCTTTTCTAATCTAATATTAAGGTATTAAACAAAACTTTATAATTTATTTCAATTGGATATTTTTAAAGTAGTAAGGCTTTGCATGAAAACCGTTTAAATGCCAGATGAGACATCTACTTGAGTGGAACATCCTAAGCTCTCACAGTGGTTCCAAAGTACAATGGAACTCAGCCCTTTGGAAGCACTGAATTACTGGAGTAAGACTTGGCAAAACTTGGACTCTTTTCTTGGATTACATTGGTTCTGCAAATGCACAGACTGTACAGAAAGGCATCCATGGCTTATCTGGAAAAACATTTAGAATTAGACTTTTGAGTTTTGATGTTAACCAAGCACTATACTGTAAAACAGGTCTGGTAAATTCCAGTTACAGGGGGCCGGTATCCTGCAACTTTTACATCCATCCTTGGTCCAACTCAGCCATTTGATTGGCTGGTCCAACTCAGCCAATCAAATGGCTGAATTACCTCCTCAGTATGCACTCAGTTCCTGTAGAGTCCTCTCAAACATTTAAGTACTTGATCAGGTGTGTTGAAACAAAGGCACATCCAAAAGTTGCAGGATACTGGCCCTCAGGAACTGGAATTACCTACCCCTGCTAAAATCTTTGAGTGGTTCTATAACACCCTCTCAACTGTCAGTTTAGCTTTGTCATTGTATTCATCCATTTAATTTACTTATATCATTTATTTTATTTTTTATTGTCTTTGCCACCATGTGGGATTTTTGTTTGGTTTTGTTTCTATCGTTGACTCATACTTTGTTTTCCAAAAACAGAAAAATCAAATAAGCTATTGTCAAAAAACAAACAAAAAACTTTTAAATGGTAAATTGCCTCTACTTGTATAGCAACTGATCAAGTCCAGGGACTCAAAAGGCTTCACAGCCTCAAAAACAGCAGAGTCCTGGGTCTTTAGGGCAAGCCGGTTCGGACTGTTTACTCAGAAAGGATGTGAAGTTGGAGCTCCTTTTGAACTGATGTTGAAGTGTTTAGAGCCCCAGGTTCAGGCCGGTATGGGCTACCTACTGAGCAGGGACATCAAGTGTGATCTCCAGCCAACTGCAGCCATAACGTCAGAAAATGTGTCAGTCCTTACTTGTTCATTAAAAAGCAATTTAAAGATGTTCTAACTTGGGAAGTCTGCCTCAGAACCTTATCTGTATAGTCTGTTGATCAAGATTCAAATATGTTTTTAGAGTCCCTCAGATATACCAACTAGCTGCTAGCTAGGTTAGGTAAACTAACCAAGCAGTAGCAGCATTACTGGGGCCAGGGACTCAGGGGTCTTCAGCTGCCTGTATATGTCTACAATTTAAAGTGAATATAAACCATTCATGAGGTATTGTGTAAAAACTATGAATGTCAGAATATGAAATGTAATCTTTCATCATAAAATGTTAATATTCTAGCTTAATATTAAATCTAAACTGTTTTTCCATAGCTAAAGAAAAACATTAGAAGTAATGATCTGATCTGCCCAAGTCCTTTGACTTTTTCTTGTAGAAACAAGACATATACATTCTCTATAGATGGGCATTTCATATATACCTAATTTAGTAAAGTGTAACCATCTATATACATGTATATACACATTTTGTCATTTCTATTTTCATGGTTCTATGTTGACAGGGCTGCAAAGGAGATCAATAAATAAAAAAATTTTTTGACAATGTCATAACCATTATATCTTTGTGCTGTATATGTTTGAGATTTACCTTGTTTCCATGAAAAATAAATGGTGTAAATACGTTTTTAGTGGCTATTCTAAATTAATCATACAAATAAAAACTAACTGACCAGATGCAGGTTGCAGGTGGATGGCTGCTACATTTAGAAAATGGGTTTGGGAAAAAAAAGGATGAAATAGTACTTTTTTTGGCACTCTAAAATTTCTTTTTTTACAAACTTATTGAGACCAAGAAAATAGTTAAGGCCTGTTTACACAACATTTTCTGGTAAAAGTGCAAAAGTTTTGTTCAGTTTCAAACCCTCTTGTAAACCACAAATGTCCATGTTGTAATTGAAAACAGGTTCCAATGTGTTATGTTTTGAAAGCATCCTAACCTCCGTTGATGTGTACACAGGAAAAAAAATATCTGATGAGAAAGCCCTGCAAATGTGACATATGAGGTAGTAGTGGTGCCTTTCTAAGCAGGAAGCCTTTGTAGTCACATGCTTGTTATATTTAAAATAACATTATGGCTACACGTGGTTTGATGACAGCAGACAACAACCCCATTTAAACGGATGGTTAAGGTTAAACGGATGCCCCAGGCCCAAAAAGTGGCGGGCTGATCACAATGCAGAGATGTGTTTTTGAATTTTTGGATGCAAAGCGGGTGGGGTTTTGAGGGCCGGACGACAAAGCTGCGCAAAGCTGGAGAAAGCACAACAAGGAAGATGGCAACAACTATTGAATAGTTCTCGTTTGACTCCGCTTTGGAATCAGTTTTGGAAGGATTAGACTTGTGGTTTTCGTTGAAACATGAACAAGAAGAGGTTCTACGCTCATTCCTTTTTAATAAGTACGTATTCTCCGTTTTACCGACAGGCTGTTTGTTTACACTCCCCCACCAGCTTTCTGTCGTGCTTCCTAGGTCACAGTCAGATGCGCTCATTAGTCAGAGCGTTGGCCGATAGGCACAGACACGAGCCGTTTCTCAATTCACGGGAACACAAGTACAGACTTGCGTTCTCGTCAAGTCCGGTCTTGGCAAGAACACAGGAAAGTCTGGACTTGGTGAGAATACAAGCACGCAGCATAGATATGGGTCAATTTGAACAGAAGCGTACTCGTGACGTCACCACAGGCTCAGCTCGTCTAGAGATGCATTTCACCTCCTGTTATTAATAGTCTCTATGTAATAATAAATTCTGACTTTTTTCATTTAATGGGGGAATAATTATTAACACAGTCAGATAAACACAAATCAAATTAACATTTTGCCAAATAAAACACAAAAAAACAAATCGCCATCAGAGCCAGCAGTCCATGACACACGGCTATGCCGAGAGAGGGCTGCTATAGACAGGCTGCGGTTAGCCATGGCTGCCGTTAGCTTTGGAGCTCCGCTGGTTGCCGAGGTCCTCTCAACTTCGGAAATCTTTTTTTTTAATTACGCATTAAATCAGTAAATGGACCATATAGAGACGCTTTAAAGTATAATATTCTCGCCTCAAATGATCTTAAAACGTACTTTTATTGAACAACAGCAACAGAAAAGATAACTTTTAAGTTTCAATGGAGCGCCCCATTGAAAGCTGCTGCTGCCGCAGTGCATGCTGGGACAGCTGTCAATCTCAAGAACGCACAAGTCTGCTCTGATGCATACTCGATAAAGAAGGCAGGGCGAGAACAACATCCGGGGATTTGGTGCGATCTCGGTTTTGGGTTCTCGGCAATTCGAACAGTGCTCGGGCTGAGGCTGATGAAGTATCACAAGCACGCAAGAACGTATATTGAGAAACGGCCATGGGTTGAAAGACACTGGGTTGTTCTCATCAACAATCTTCCAATGTCTCATTCATCGGGACCAGACTAAATTACACATTTATTCTCACATTTAGTCTGGTTTATCAGGCTAACTAATTGCCATATCGCTTCTGTTTTAGTGACTACCCATATCCAAGATCCATTAAATAGCTTTAAGTGTTTTTTAAAGAAACAATTGATATAGAACAAACCTAAGATCTTTTAAAAGTGATGTTATAAATAATCACTAAATTATGGCATGTATGCTAATTACTACTAAGGTTTGTTTATACATTGGTAAACGCAAATTTTGAACTTGCAATAACTCTGACAGATTTAGATATGATAACTGTGACAGGTTTAAAAATGAGTGTGTCAGATGTTCCTGACAGTCTACCTGAGAGCGTCTGGAGGTCAAATGAATGAACACACCTGGTACCCAGCTTTGACCTAAGTGACACGTGTCTGCCATCAAGTTATTTTCTTATTTCTGCTTTAATAAACATATCGTAATATAATTTGTCCAATCAAGGGTTAAAATATTTCGTCCAATCACTGTGAATGGTCATACAATTGATCACAACTCAGGTTATTTTTCTCCATATTGGCTAATTTTATAGCTAGGAAGCTAATAAAGAGCTCCACTGATATCCTGCTTTAAATTGAATAAACTTACATTCAGTGTAACATAAGCCATCTTGACACCAAAAGCATATCTAACAATATGACAAATATATTATTAAAAGAGAGCTGTTAGAAGTGATAAAGCAACAGCTAAAAACACCTGCTAGGGCTAACAGGCTAAGCTAAAAAGAGGATTTTTAACCTATATCTGACAGCTAATCTAAAATATATGAAAGCTAACGTAAACAAAATAGTGGAGCCACTGCATATATCTTAATATATTGATATTTTTTCTGTGATAACGGTAAAAGAGTGGAAGCATTGCGTGCAGGTGCTCGATGTCATACTCACCATGTTGATGCAGTGCTGCTAAAACGGACTCTACCCCAGCAACACACAGCACCCCTACTCCGAAATTAAGCAGAAAGGCGCACATATGCCCTTGTTGCGATGGCTGAGGACAAAAATGAAAGGACTCGTGCTAAAAGAAATTCAGTCACTCTATCTACACAGAGATAGGCTACATCGTCAGAAAAATCAAAAGATGCAGTCTCCGCTCTCAAGTATTTTCAACTGCAGTAGAGGTCACACTGAAAACTCTTAGTGAATAGGGGTCTTCAGATGTGCCTGAATAGAAATGCGAAACTCGAGCCAACAAAATTATTAAAAAAGTATAAAGACAAAAAAAAACCCTCCAACTATTAAAGATATTCATACATATTTTTTAGATGTTTTGCGCTTTTTAAATTTTATTTTAAAACATGACGACTATTATTTAATATAGGCGTCTCGGAGTTTACTATAACTATTCTGTAGGACCGCCGTAGCACACATGACAGATTTGTAGTTGCTGGTAGGCACAGCACGTCAGAGCAGACGCAGTGGATGATCCACTTTTACTGAAAATAAATAACCAAATCTTTATACGTGAACTTTTTTTTTTTTCAGGTTACCAACACACAGAGTATTACATGTAGCTATTACATTTAGCTCAAAATATTTTACACTGTAAAATGATATAATTTAAAATGGTTAGTGAACGAATGTGCCCTTTTTAGTTTTTTCATATTTGTAAAAAGAATAAAATGTGGACACTTTATTGGCTGCATTATAATCAGTCCCTTCGTTAACCTCAAGCATTTCCTTAATTTTATATAGCATGAATTTAACAAAATGTCAGAAATATGAACTGCAGAGTGACACCGTTTGTAGCACTGCTGCCTTGCTACAAGAAGGTCTTGGGTTTGATTCTGTCTCCCTGTACATGTGTGGGTTCTCTCCGGGTACTCCAGCTTCCTCCCACAGTCCAAAAGCATGACTGTTTTTCTTCAAACGGTGTTTTATGTGTCATACTGTAGAGCTGTCTTCTAAATTGACAGCTCTACAATACAAAGATTTTTAACTTTTCATAGATGTTTTCATCTTGTTTTATTGTAAATCATTACTCTGAAATCAAGACTATTTCATTTTGTGTTAAAGTTTGTAAGTCTGTAGGACTTTAACCCTTTAAAAGTAAACTTTTACCTTGACTTGAAAAATCTGATGATATGTATGTTTGAAAACAGATATATAATTATCCATATTACAAATGTGCAGTTTAGATAGCTTTGAAATCATAGCCTCAATCACCTTTTCTTAGCACATACTAGTGTCAACTGATCTGTTCTGGTTTTTTTGCCTATCTGCTTAAAGATTTAATGTATTGTGTGCTCTGAGATTATGCACTCTATACAATTGTTATGAACATTTGTTCAGCCTCTGTTGCCTTTTTCTAGAGAGGAAATGGAAGGATAAAACAATAACTGCACAACAAATAAAGTTTTACCTTTACTTGAAAAATCTGATGAAATTTTATTATATTTAATAACAGATTTATAATTATCCAATTTACAAATTTGCAGTTTAGATAGGTTTGAAATGCATGGGAAATATAATATTTAAAATTTCTTGTTTTTAAATTTTGTACTAAATACCAATATATTATAAAATGTCTGCACATGGCGCAATGCTTAATGTAGAGCAATGTTAAGTCTGACGTTCTTCATAACAGAATTCTGTATGCCCTAAGTAGCTGTATGGGATTTTGTTTAAGTCTCATTGTCTGTATGTAGCTCTTAAAGGCTTCTGTAAAACATATTTTCTATTATATTTAAAAGTTATTTTTATTTTATCTTCATTTTGCCTTGCATGTTCCAGGTTAATGTCAATAGTTGATGGATTTTGTTGTATTCACTTGAAAGCAGGCTAAGGGTCTTATCAGATGGTAACAATCAGCTCAGGTTTTGTACGTTTGTGCTTGTGTGGCTGCAACCAGGATATATTACAGAAGAGCATATTCATTTCTATGGTATATGAAGGCTTAGCTTTTTTTTTTTTTTTGCTTTATTTGCACATGCGCATATATTGCCTAAGCCCTCCTCTCTTATTGCAGGGATATCTACTCCACCCCCTTGATGCATACTGCTATTCTCATGGCAGACCCACAAATGCATACAGCTCCAGAATATTCTTTCATGCCGCGTTAGTATTTTTTGATAAAAATATCTCCTTGCACTTGCATTCTTGCATAATAGTTTTTCACTAATATAAATGTCAAAAACTAAACCCAGTTTAGCTAAGCAATATCACGATTAACACAGAGGAAAAATATACTTTCAAATATATTTCAAATTTCAAATTTTCAAAGACAATTTTTTTTTAAAACAATCTTTAATAGGTCAATTTTGATAATCACAGCTTTTTAAATTTATACATGTCTGAATGATTTTTTTTTTTTTTTTTTAAACCAAAGACAAATTCAGATTTTTCTATTCTCCTTGTCCTCATCCCACTCAGCACTGTTACTGCAGCTCTTTGAACTCTCAGCTCTCTGGAGCCTGAGCTCCTTTTATTCTTTTCTAAGCCAGTGTTGTCTGTCCTTTTTAGTCAGCCTTGTTATTTTTAGATTAAACATAATAGCCAGGATCTTTGGCACACTGTAAAGTTTCACGCCACTCCTATTGTTTAATCCTAGGACATCTCCTCTGCACTTACTAGCTCGTTAAGCTTCAGCTTCAAGCATAGAGCTTCAAATATTAATAAATACAATGGGAATATTACAGTAGAAATCTCAGCCAAGTCAATCAAAGAGACTTATTGTTGAATGTCGCAATTCATTTTTAATGGTGACGCTTTTTGTGCACAGGCATTGCTAAGCATTAAACACGCATTTCCTTCTTTTATTAATCAAACAACAGTTTGAAATGTGAGGAACTGATCTCAGTAGCATACCTCGATACAGAAAGAGGGCGATGGAAGAAAAATCTGTGTCATCTCCTTACCAGCAGGACTGAAAATGGTTCAAAATGTAATTCTCTTTGGTGCAGCGCCTCCTTCCTCATTCTCTCTAATCTGCAAGCATGCAAATTACAATGCAAATGCAAATACTGCTGAATAATTTATGTGTAGTCTACATTTCTCCTAAAACCAGCAGCTCTTGTCTGAGCAGAGTAATGTGGGATTCATAGCAATGATTTGGCTAACCGCTGAAATAGACTCCATTTGCTTTGGAAGATTTTTTGAAGGATTAACACGAATCATTTCTATATATTCTAATCATTAAAATCCTAAAGTACAGTTGAAGACTCAATTCAAGTCTGTAAACTTTAACATACATTCCCTATTCCTCTTGAATGCACATTGTCGGCAGTAAGGGAAGATGAAGATGTTTTTTATAGTTTATTATTCAAATCATTTTAGGTTTTCTTATTTATAAGAATATATTTTGATTTAGTTAATTTTTTATTTTCTATTTAAGATGAAAAAGAAATTAGGACTTTATTTGGACAAAACACATATTTAAAATTTTTTGCTAACATTGAGATGTTATTTTGTTAGTAACTCCTACATGTTATAAAATCATAATTTCAAATGACTGCAGTCATCATATCCCCTTTTGTAGCTATTACTGCACTTTGGCATATAACACGATAACATTTCCTTTCATAAACCAAATAAAATGCATCTGTAAGCACATACAGCATGTGTTTGTGTTTTATGTTGGCATAGGAAAAAAAACAAGCCTTTCACAATAATTTGATACCGATGGAGGCAAGCGCTGATGTTCCTTGCATCCGAGTTAATATATTCCGTTTTTCTCCTCCAGCAGGTTTTCCATCAGGGATTGTAATTAAGCAAAACTGTTCATGAGTGGGCATGTTCATTTAGCCCCTGTCCGGGTTTAGAAGGCTTTAGTAGGATAGAAGAACAAATCCGGGTGAAACAAGGCGATTGATGCAGCGGGCTATGTGAAGACATTACATACAAACTAGCGAGACTAAAAGGTACCAAAATGCTCAGTTCTTCTATTGGGTTTCAACTTGTGAAAAAAAGTAATACTAAGGAAGTGGCTTCCTGTCTGTCTGTCTAAATCTTTATCTATCAATTTATATATATATATATATATATATATATATATATATATATATATATATATATATATATATATATATATATATATATATATATATATATATATATATATATCTGCAGGCCAGCTGATACTGTTGTCTATGCACAGCACAAGACTATCTTGCATCTCCAGTTTCTTAAATTCCTCCTTATCCCTCTGTTTTCTTTCCATACATGTTCGGTGGTTCAAATGTTTCACATTTTAGGCTACTGCTTTATTTAGTTTGAGTTTAAATGCATGGACCAACTCGTCCTTCTGCAGTACTTTCATTTATTTCATGACCTCTAACCTCCTGTCACAAATCCTGTGTGAAGGTACAGCAGGATTACTAATCTTGAGAAATTTACCAAAACAATGCAAATGTTTACGTGCCTCCAAATGTTAAAAATAGAAAATAACAAAAATAACTCTATGACTAAAGCAGCTAGATTTGTTAGATCACTGGAACCCATAGATACAGCTTCTATCTATCTATCTATCTATCTATCTATCTATCTATCTATCTATCTATCTATCTATCTATCTATCTATCTATCTATCTATCTATCTATCTATCTATCTATCTATCTATCTATCTATCTATCTATCTATCTATCTATCTATCTATCTATCTATCTATCTATCTATCTATCTATCTATCTATCTATCTATCTATCTATCACCAATTATATTTATTGTTTTTGTCAGAGCTTTTGTGCATTGTCTGACATTACAGTTATTTCAACAGCTTTACAAACTAATCTCAAATTTCAGAGCTGAAGAAGGTGTTTAAAAATGAGTTAAATTAAATTCAGTGTATGTTAGAAACAATCTGATATTATTTTAATTGAAAATAAAAGCAGATATAAAAATATCTTGCATTGTAGGCTCTGGTTCCTTATAAGGGGGCTCATATCGAACCAGCTCTGAAAGATACCGTTATTATTTTTCTATATACTATTAAAAACTTTGAAATTTCCGGTATGCATGGTTATTTTAATTTCAATGGACAAAGAGTAAGACACCAACAACTGTGCCGCATAGCTCAGTCAGTGTGTTTGCCAGAACGTCACCATCATGTTACATTTCCCTTTTTTCTTTTATTGTACCTTTATTTGCTGCTCAAAAGCTTAAATTGACAATTGAACCCACAGGGGAAAA